TTTTTTAAATTAAAAATTTTTTAAAATTAAGAAATTCCATTTGACCCAGCTATTCCCCTTCAGATATCTTCTCCCAAAGAATTAAAAACATCATACCACAGTGATGTATGTTCAGTAAGTCCCCAACTTACAAATGAGTTCCATTCTGGGAGAATGTTTGTAAGTCAGATTCATTTGTAAATCCAACAAAGTGAATCTTACACATCTTTGACACAGATATACAATGTAGAGCATAAAAAATCTAAATACACACAAATAATACAGTAAGTCCCTGAGTCTACTGTAGAACTGTACTATCGAACTGTATCACTGTACCACTGTATCACTGTACAGTAAGCACACAGCAGCATAACTGTAACAATAACTGCCAGACACATGAGCTACATCCATGATTTGGTCACATCGACGAATGTTTGAAATGCAAGGTCTGTTTGTATCTGTGAAAGTTCACAACTCAAATGTTCATTAAGTTGGGGACTTACTGTATACCCATGTTCATAGCACCACAATTCAGAATCACTAAATCTTGGAAACAGCCTAAATGCTCATCAACAGATGAATGGATTAAGAAAATGTGATATTTATATACAGTAGAGTACGATTCTGCTGTAAAGAAAGGTGAACTTGAGACATTTGTAGGAAAATGGATGCATCTTGAGACCATAACATTAAGTGAAACAAATCCAATACACAAGCTTGAACACCACATGGCTTCCCTCATGTGAAAAAGTTAACAGGAAACAAGATGAGGAGGAAAAAAAATTATTGTATTTTAAGTATGTTTCTGTTGTCAGTTTCTAGTTTCAATCCAATATGGTATGAAAGATCACTTTGAGGGTTTTCCATTTCTTTGGATATGTTGAGGTTTTTATTGTTGTTATGACCATATGAGTAATAGATAAAACTAGGAGTAGATGGACTCCATTCAGTATTTATTCAGCCCTCAACACACCAACAGGCAATGTCCCAGAAGCTGAAATATAGTAAAGGTTAAGAGAGGCCCTTGTAATAGCTAAATCTTGGAAACAGCCCAAATGCCCATCAACTGGTGACTGGATAAAGAAGATGTGGGGGGGGCTTATAAAATGGAGTACTACTCAGCCATAAAGAAGGGCCAGGGATTTGGGCCAGGGATTTAGCTCAGTGGTTCCGGTGCCTGCCGTGCAAGTGCAAGGTCCCAAGTTTGATCCCTGGTACCCAAAAAAAAAAAGGCCAGGAATTTAGCTTAGTGGTTCCACCACCTGCCTCACAAGCACAAGGCCCCAAGTTCGATCCCCAGTACCAAAACATAAAAAAACAGCCATAAAGAAAGATAAACTTGTGCCGGGGATTTAGCTCAGTGGTTTCGCTGCCTGCTGTGCAAGTGCAAGGACCCAAGTTCGATGCTCGGTACAAAAGAAAAAAAAAAAAGAAAAATAAACTTAAGATATTTATAGCTAGCAAGGACCTGAGTTTGATCCCTGGTACCAAAAAAAGAAAAAAAAATGATATTTATAGCCAAGTGGATGCACCTTGAGGCTATACTCATAAGTGAAATAAATAGGACACACGTGTAAATACTGAATCATTCCTCTGGTGTAAGAAACTGAAGATGTAAATGAGGACCAAAATGTAGAATAGATATTGTGAAACAGGAAGAAAATGTTTAAAGGGAAAGGGGAACTAGGGAGGGGGTCAGGGGAAAGGAAAGAAGGAAAAGAAAAAATTGAAAGTATGAAGGAAAAAATGGAAACAAATCTTATGTATATGGGGGGTGGAGGGGTTGAAGGGAAGTCAGGGGAATGGGGAAAAAATAAGAACCAAGATACATCATGTAAAGGTACAAATTCTCAATGATAAATGTGATCATAAGGTATACCTAAATGTACCAATAAACTCAATAAGAAGTTTTTTTAAAAGAATGAGAAAGTAGAGACATTTATAGCTAAATGGATGCACATTGAGGCCATACTCTTAGGTGAAATAAATAAGACACACATGTATAAATACCAAATAGGTTCTCTGGTGTGAGAAACTGAAAGTGTAAACGAGGAGCAAAATGTATAATAGATAATGTGAAATAGGAAGAAAAGGTCCAAAGAGGAAGGAGTAGGGGAAGTGGGAGGGGTAGGGGAAAGGAAAGAAGGGAAAGGAAAAAAATATGAGAAAAGGAAAAAAATGGAAACAAAGTCTTTGTAAATGAGGAAGGGCTGAGGGGTTGAAGGGAAGGCAAGGGAATGGGGGAAAAAAATAAGAACCGAGATATATAGCGTATAATTACAAATTCCTGGACAGGGAATTTAGCTCAGTGGCACCATGCCTGTCTCACAAGCACAAGGTCCTGAGTTTAATCCCTGGTACAAAAACAAAAGGAAATTCCCAATGATGAATGCTATCATATTGTACACCTAAAATGTATCAATAAACTTAATGAATAAAAAAAGAGGCCCTATCCTCAAGGAGCTCACAACCAATACACAGGAAAAGAGCAACAGAGTGCAAATAATGGCTGCACACAAAAGAGAGGGGCTCAGTAACCCTGTAATGACTGGCTGTGTCTAGGAGAGTCAGCAACATCCTCAGACAGAAAATACAATTTTACAATAAATTTTTAATGTCAGTTTTCAAATTTAAAGTATATTTTTAAATAATGGAACCCAAGCCAAAACTTTAATTTCTAGTTTGCAATTCCAGAAAGAAAGAGCTATTTAGGATGCCCAATTATCAGGATATACTGGATCATAAACCCACCAGGAGGGAGAAGAGGATCAGAAGACTGGAATAATATCTAAAGCAAACAACTTGTGAAAAAGAGATGAAAATTTATTCAGAACTGGAGATGTGGAGCAGGGATAGAGTGCTTGCCTAGCACATGCAAGGCCCTGGGTTCAATACAAACTGCCACAGGAAAAAGAAGGGTGGAGGAGGAAGGAGGGAGGTAGTAAGGGAAGGAGGGAAGGAAAAAATAGAGAATTGATTCGTAAGTTAAGAATGGAGAACAACCAAAACAACTTTCAATAGGTGATAGATAAACCAAATATAGTACATCCATACAACAGAATATTATACAGAGAGCAAGATGAGATCTCAAGCCCCAAAAAGAAAGAGAGGAAACTGAAATGTATATAGCTAACTGAAAGCCTAAGACTACATAGAATATGACTCCAACTACATGATATTCTGGAATAGGCAAAGCCAGGCATGTTGGGGAACACCACTTATCCCAGCACTTGGGAGGCTGAGGCAGGCAGATCGCCATGAGTTTGAGGCCAGCTTGGGCTACATAGGGAATTCAAACCCAGCCTGAATTACATAGCTAGACCCTGTCTCAAAAAATTTATTAAAAATGGGAACAGCCACAAGAACGGTAGCTCCCAGAGGATAAGGGGGTGGTGATAAATATGTGGAGAACAAGAATTTTTGTTAGGCATGAAACAATTCTGTAGGACACTACAGTGGTATACACATGTCAATATCCATTTCTCCAATCCAGAGAACTGCACAGCACAAAGTTAACACTAAAGTACACTCTGGATTTTAGTTAACAATAACAGATAAATATTGGTTCATCAGTTGTAACAAGTGTACAGCTCCAAAGCAAGATGTTAATAATAGGGGAAAATAGGAAGTCTGTCCTTTCTGGCCACTTTCTATAAACCTAAAACTGCTCTAAGAAATGAGGTACATTAATGTTGAAAATATATAAATATATTTACATGAAATATACAAAAAAATTTTCAAGGTGACCAAAGACTGACTTTATGCAATGGCTATATTCTAATAGCAACAAAGGGAAGACAAAGCAGTTTTTTTGTTTCTTTATTTGTGGTACTGGGGATTGATTACAGGGACTTCTCACTGAGCTACCTCCCCAGTCCTTGTTTAAATTTTTAAATTTTGAATCAAGTTCCCAGAGGGCTGGGATTACAGGCTCAAATCAGTGCTTGAAAATTCTTCAGCTGGGCATGTTGGTGCATGCCTGTAATCCAAACACTCTGAGAAGTGGGAGGATCACAAGTTCCAGCCCAACCTGGTCAATGAAGTTACTTGAACACACAGTGGCTCAAAATTTTTACAAAGGCTGAGGATGTAGCTCAGTGGGAAGACCCTAGGTTCAATTCCCAGTACTGCAATTTAAAATTTTTTTAAAAAAGAAAGAAAATTCTTTAAACATAAGCAATATGTCTATAAATATTCCTGCTGCAAGATAAGATAATAGTCTCATACCTTTCAGCTCTTTTTTCAATGTAAACATTGTTAATGAAATAAAATACCACAGTGATCATGATATTCTTCAAATGTAAAAGTCTCCCTTTTATACCCTGCTTTTGATATCTGTACAGTATATGACCTTGCATCTTCGTGATAATTCTTTCATACCTCTCTGCCCCACACGCTTCTTCACCCACTCGGTGGCTGCAGCGATGCTCTCTGTCTGGGTGACGTCCAGGATCACTGTCTCCAGCCGTTCTGACGTCTGCTTCCTCAGCTGCTCAGCCCCCTTCTCCGTCAGACACGCAGCCAGCACCCTCAAGCCTCGCATGTCCAGCTGTCTGGCCAGCAGGTTCCCGAAGCCCGAGTCACAGCCCGTGATGAACACATACTTGTCTTGGAGGTGGCTCACCACCTGCCTCTCCTGGTACCAGCGCACAAGGTGGTACAGGCCCAAGAGGACTAACAGGTAGAGCCACATGGTGAGGGTGTGTCCTTCTCCTTCAACAGAAACACAACAGCTGTCATTTTACTCCTTCCTTTTTCTCAAAGGGACTCTTGTTCACTTATACTTAGTCTGACAGTGAAGGAGCCACTGTCTAGAGGGGGACTCAGGGAGATAACTAAACATGTAATGCAGTGTGACAGGGAGGCAGAGCGAAAGTACAAACACAGTCTAATGAGGCTGCAAAGGAGGATGAGCCATATCCTGGCAAAGCTGGAAATGCTTCATAGAAGCAATGATTTGGGTTCTACTTCCTACAGTTCAGTAAGAATCCAGAAAGGAGGCAGGGATGGAGGGACATTCCAGGTAGTAACAATGTACACATGAATGCAGTCAAGAGAAGCAGAAAACCCTAATCCTAACCATAATCATAACTGTCTTAGAAGCAGGAACCATATCATTAAATTTTTTCTCCCCACAGCCTACCTATGTCCCCAACACAAATTGTATTAGTCAGGGTCCTCCAGGGAAACAAAACCAAAAGGATAGATAGAAAGAGATATATGAAGAGGAATTAGAGAAATTGGCTCACGTGATTATAGAGGCTGGGAAGTCCCACAACAGGCAGACTGCAAACTGGAGATCTGCAGTGCCAGCCGTGTGGTGCAGTCAGGCCAATGATGCAAGTGTCATTCTAAGAGCAAAGGTCTAAGAACTTGGGGGGAGCCACAGATGCAAGTCCTAGAATACAAAGTTCCTGTTGTTCTCATGTCTAAAGAGAAGAATGTGTCAACTATATGAGGAAACCACCTGACCTCCACCCTTTGTGCTCTATCTGGGCCTCTCCTGGTTGGATGGTGCCTGCCCACTAGAAGGCAGTTCTTCCCCATTCAGTCCAATGTCCACTGGAAACACCTGCACAGATACACCCAGGAATAATGTTTCATCTCTTCTTTAAATATTTTTTAACCTATCAAATTGATACTAAATTTGGCCATCATACATATATCATCAACTATTTGTGGAATAAATACATGAATTAAAGGACTGGAGGAACTAAAGCTATCCAGGACACATCACTCTTTTAGTTAAAAAAAAAAAATTTAGAACACCAAGGAGGCCAGCCTGGGCTACACAGCAAGGCTCTGTCTCAAAAACAAAAAGAACAGCAATAGGAATAGAAGTGCAAGGGCAATCCAATAAGGTGTTTACGTCTGCAAGGAATTTGGGGAAACAGACTTGGGGCTGATAGGTATACTCAAAAGGCTGGATGTCACAGCTAGACAATGTGAGGCTTGAAGGAGAAAAGGGTTTGGCCCCTATGTAAACGAGATCACAATGGAAAAGTAAAAGATTGACAGTACTTCCTCAGAGGCCTTTGGAATAGCAAACTCTATGCCAGAGCACTTTCTCATATTGGGAGGTGCTGGACTATGGACTGTGTGTGGGAAACACTCCCTAATTTATCTCATTTAATCTTCACACCAACCCCTCTTAGAGATATACCATTTACTTTAGGGATTAAACCCTTGAACTATGGATCCAGGCTGTCCAGTTCTCTGTTTACTATCATTCCAACGTACTACTATATGAGTGTCCTTGAAAAAATTGCTCTTGGCTATTTCCCCATCTGTAATACAGGGATAATATTAGTACCTACTACATAGAGGAACAAATACTTCAATTTAAACAGTATTCAATAGCAGGTAAGTGTTCTATAAATGTTAACTATTATTATTCCCTGTTTCCTGATAAAAGAACTAATGTAGAATAAATCAAGCAAAATCTCAGCCCATTCAAGCTGCTATAACAGTAATAACATGAATAAGGTGGCCTATAAATAACAAAAATTTGTTTCTCACAGTTCTAGAACCAAGGAGTCTAAGACCACGTTGCCAGCAGGTTCAGTGTGGATGGTGGTGCCTTTCAGCTGTGTTCTTTTATGATAGAAGAGAAAGGCAGATCTCTGGGGCTTCATAAGGGCTTTTATCCCATTCATGAAGTTAGAGACTTCTTGAGCTAATCACCTTCCAAGCGCTCCACCTCCTGATATTATCACATTAGTGATTAGGTTTCAACATAGGAATTTTGAAGAGACATAAACACTCAGCACCATACACATAGTAGTAATGAGTGAATAAACACTCTCCCTTCTCTGGCTTTTAGTTACTTGGTTTTATCACCAATATTAGAGGTCCATAACCAAACAACATATCCCTATGAGCTTTGCCTTAGGTAATGGAGTTTTATTCATAATTATTAAAATCAACCAAGATGACTTTGGAAGATGTCTGCTTCTACTCTAAATTATGCTTGTCTAGTAGTCCTAATTTAAATTCTCATAGTTAAAACCAAAAGAAAAACTGCATTAATATATCTCTCTTTTCTCAACACTTCCGGGGGGTTTAATGATAAAACAAAATGCAAAACTGGCTTGTTAATGGGACAGCTACTCCTTCTGGACTCAAATTGTCATGGAAAAAGCGTTCCATACTGCCACCTCTACTGATCCCTTGGTGAACAACTCAGTCAATTATGTATGTTTTATGCTGTGGTTTGTGAGATATGCTGAGCTAAACATAGGGCCTACGAGAAACTTTAGCTTAAAAATACATGCAGTATAGACTGGAAACAGGCTGAATAATACTGCTGGAGTCTGAATACTCTTCCTTTTGGTGGTTTTATAGATACAATCTCCAACTATTTAGTTATCTTATTGTTTGACTCTTAAATTTTATAATAAACCTTTAGTGTAGCATACATCAAAGTGCATATTTAATTTCAAAATTAAATCTTTATTTTCTTCAGATTTTTGTATTAGCACATGTTTGTACTGCATAATGATTACATTCCTTGTGGAGAATTGGTACATGTACATAAAACATCTTAAGTCTTTTTTTTCCACATGCTTCCTCTCCCTTCCCTCCCTCCTCCCTCCTTCTCTTTCCCTTTTGCAAAAGAGCTATCACTCTTTTTTCCTATTATCTTTTATTTTACTCTTTATTTATATTTTGGGTTTCTCATATAAGAAAAAATAGACAATATTTAAGCTTGTGTCTCTTCATTTCTTTAGAAGGTCTATAATGCATATAACTTGCACAAAATATTTGTTGGCCAGGACATACAATGTGTACACCTGTAAGCCCAGCTACGCTGGCAATGGGGAGGGTGCTTTTGTTCAATTCAGATCACAAAATGGACCTGTGCAGCTTCCTTTTTGTTAGTAGCTATAGGCTACTGAGACCAGGGCTTTTGAAGTCACTCAACCTTTGAACTGACTCAGTGAAACTTGTGCTGTTGATGACTGAACTCTGCCACCGACAGTTTCAGAATTCAAAGCTCCAACATTTCCACCCTAATAATATGGACACATACATTTTCCTACTCTTCCATCTCCTATATCTCTCTCAGTCCCTCCCCTAATACTTCATCAAGTGGCTTGGATGAACAAGGTGATATTCATAACTTTATAATGGGAAAAGAGGGGTCTTTTGTTTCATTTCAAAACTAGGCTGGGTATAGTAGCACACACCTGTAATTCCAGCACTCAGGAGGCTGAGGCAGGAGGATTACTGTGAGTTCAAGGCCAGTCTGGGCTACATAGTGAGTTCCTCTAAGCAAAATGATCTGGTTTTGTATACTTTCCAATAAAAGACTTTCCCTCCTGAGTTTCTATCTCTGAAATGATAGCTTTGGCAATTCATGAATTAGCTTATTCCTTTGTATTCAATAACATTAAGCTCAGGCACTGAAAATTTTGACTTATGTAAGTTTCAGGCATTCACAGCTTTTAAAGAGTCTCCCTGTCTTCATTTATCATGCCAATGACACTTTTTTAAAAGGTAAAATATTCTGGACAAAGAACCAAATTGTTAGTTGTTCTTTCCATTGTTTCACCATTGCCCCAGTCACCCCCCAAATTTTAATCAAAATGACCCTACCCATCTCCCTTTCTCCCTAGCCATCCCTCCTACCCCAAAATAATACGCCAGTAATAGCCAAAAGCTACATACATATTTGTCTAAGTTAAAGGAAGAAAGGTTTAATTGGCTCACAGTTTGTAGAGATTTTAGTTCATAATTGGCTAGTTCCAAGACAGGGCAGCATGACAGAGGGGCATCAGAGAGGAGAAACAGTTCATGGAAGGTAGAAGGCAGTGAAGTAGTAAGCAGAAACCCCAGCAGCCCTCTTTCTGTCCTTTACATTCTGTCCAGGGCTAAGGGCTGGTAGCACTCACACCTGGGAAGAGCCTTCCCATTATCTTCTCCCAGAACTATGCCAAATCTATCAGTGGGCTGATTTAGTAATCATATATCCTTGGTCCCAGCATCACACACTTAATCCCAGCACAACACACTCTAGATCCAGCCACCTCTGAAAAGCCCCACCTATGACCCCATGAGGCTTTGTGGGGACATAAGATATAAGCCATAACAATGCTACACTATAAAAATTCAAAATTAATACTGTTGGGGAAAAGGCTGTGGATTGTGGAGACAGTCTTTGAAAATTGACAATATGTTTTTGCTCTCCCATCCACCTAATTCTGCAAGTTTTGTCCTTCATAGAAGAAGGCCCTTTGCTTTTCTTAGCAAAGTGCAGAACAGGTTGCCTTGAAACACTTATCCCATTCCCCTCCTCTGGGATGGCTCTGTAAATTATAACAGCTTAGAGTGGCTTTAAATTTAGGCCATTTCAGGGCTTAGAAACTATACTGGCTCTTCAAAGGACATCTTCTCAAGTCATCTTTATGGTATCAAAACAAGAATAACTTCTTACCTCCTACTTAAAACCCACAATCAAGTGACTGGAGCTGGTACTCAGGAGAGTCTTGAGTCTCATCTTTTTCGTCATCATCCTCTGAGGCGGAGGAATACCATGTCAGCCTTTCCTCATAGAAGGATATAACAACCTGTGGGCACTTGATGTTGGCTTTCTTGACAGGGACCAGGTCAGCTTCATCAGAGTTCTTCCATTTCAATGAGAAACATAAACTCACAAATGCAACCTGTGGCTCCAAAAATCCAAACCCCTGGCAAAGCTTTTCTGACTCCTCTTTCTTCTTCCCAGGTTTGCTCTCCTTTCCCTTATGTTCAGAATCAGAATCAGCTTTGACTTGCCTCCCTCTGATTTACCTGTCTCCTATGCTTTTCTTCTGTGACTGTAAAAATTCAACAATGAGGTCAGGGCAGTCCATGTTCTCTTCTGGCTCCTATGTGCTGTCCTCCTCTGAGAAAGCCTTCTACCTGAGCAAGTACGCCACTTGGCCATTTACAACTCAATGGTCAAGAACTTTTTCCACCACATATTCCTCTTCTTTGTTTTCTAGTACCTCCTCCATTTTCTTCTGTTTTGTTTCCTCATAGTGCCTGCCAGCTTTCTGGTGTAAAGGGTGACACTGTTCAGAGCAGTATCCTGCTGGCCAGCAGAGTGGTGCCCAGGAAAGCAACAATCCCAGTGGCCACAGTCACACAACTGAAGCTGCATACCATGAGGCCCGCCCAACCGTAACCCCTGCTCCCACCCAAAGTATGTATTACAGCTCCTAGTGTCTCTGTTCCTGGTGGCTCCCAGTCAACTCTCTTAGCTCCTCAGCAGCCAGGGTCCACAGCCCCCTGGAAGCTTTCTGGAACTTTTGCAGCAGCTTCCTTCTGCTGTCTTCAAGGAAATCATCAGGTCTCCACCACTCTCTGGAGCTCTTCAGCACTAATAGCCCCTAGTGTTATCATTTTTTTTTTAGCGCAACACCCTCTTCCCACTCTACCTGTGATAAAAGCCATGAGTAGGCGATAAGAC